ATATTATGAGATATTTTGAGATATTTGTCGACTATCTCACCATAGTGGAGAAGGGGTTTTGAAAGTGTGTCTGTGATTGTGAGATTGTTGTGGTAGACGCGGAGGTTGTCAAGCTGTTCGATGGCAATGGGTCTTGGGGCGAGAGAAAGTGGTCAATGGCTATGCTTCCCTATGAGATTGCCTTAAAATGGAACGAACATTGTACAATTCGTCTGCTTTCCATACGGTGGCGATCAAAGTTACCGTAAAATGCAATATATATACATATAAATATATTTATATTTAGATATATATATATGTATATATATATATATATATATATGTATATATATGTATATATATATATATATATATATATATATATATATATATATTTATATATACATATGTATGTATATATATATACACATATTTATATATATATTCTCTATATTTATATATTCTCTATATATATATATATGTATATATTTATATATTTATATACATATATACATATATATATATAATATATATATATATATATATATATATAAATATATATATATATATATATATATATATATATAGTACACCACGGATATATATTTGTACGCTTCGAGTTTTGTTATGAAATTATTCGACTGTATAGTATGTCTGCGGTTATGTGCTGCCCGCTATAGCTATCGAACTGTCGATATGTTGGCCGTAGCACCTTCGAGGTTCACGGAAATTACTCGCTGATATGCTTCTGATACTGAATTATTCATAATGCACTCACCGACACCAGGTGGACTGTTCAATACCTAGAGGTAGCTCGGTACATACAATGCAGATACTTTGATAGCTACTATCCGCAGTCTATTTATAGCACTGCCTCATGCTCTCTATCGATCCACTGAATGACGTGTGCTCGTTCCAAATGCAGAACGCCACAGATGATGATGTACAACTCAAGGCGCACAGTGACCACACCACACCGGACGGTATAGCTACACTAACTCAGAGCGACCACATGGACCATACAGCTATCACCGCTACCAACACAGACGGATCTGCCCCAGGTGACGCCTCGAGAGAGGCGAGTGGGTTAGCACTTGATCACACAACTGTTTCGTCTGTAGACAGCAGCCGTACTGTGCCTGCGGTAGGGGCCACCGCAGAGCCGTTGGAGGAGAGTGAGGGTTTAACTTTTAGTGACATAGAGGAGGGCACCGATGCGGACGGGTGGGAAGTGCGGAAGGGCAATTTCATTGCCATCAATGCGCTGTCTATGTCTTGCAAACATCCCAAGGTACGATATATATATTATTATATTATTATATTATTATATTATTATATTATATTATATTATATTATATTATATTATATTATATTATATTATATATATATATATGTATTATATATAATCTATAATATATATATATATATATGTGTGTGTGTGTGTGTGTGTGTGTGTGTGTGTGTAGTGTAGGCTGTCTGGACAGTTGGTGTTGTGTCGTCAAGTACATACATATATGTATGTGTTGGGTAGTCTGTATTGTATACATTTATATATTTGTCTGTGCATCAGAAGTTCATGGCTGTCCGCATGACTGTCGATGTCCTGTAGACCCCTTAAAGTAAATGCAGGAGCTGTGTACAGATGTATCGTATGATCAAGCGGTTACATATCTGTATTAGCTGCACAGTGAACAATAAATAGTATGTGCGTCTGTGTAGTGTACAGGCTTGACTCGCACAACCTTATGCTTACGTTATGCTGTGTGTAATCTACATAGGTGTACACCTCACTGGCGATGCCATACGTCCTGCACACATTCGCTGGAAATAAATTGTCCCGTTTCTGTTGGAGCCGAAATAATTGGACCGGTTCAAGTCCTGTACTTTCATTCTCCACAGTTACAATATTGTAAACCCTAAACCTTAGATCCTAGTTCCTATCACGGACACCTAAGCACTCGCACGCCAACTCAAACCACTTGAACTTTCTGAGCTGGTGGGCAGCACTATGCGCTAGTGGTTAATTGTCCGATGCATTACGCTTTCGCACACACATCCCAACACTCGCACTCGCGGTCGAAAACGTATTAACGTAAAGGACATCTGTTCTGTCTTGCAAAGGTCCCACACTGTCTGTGGTGTATGAGATGTGTTATACACTCACACAAACACTTTGGCACTCGTTCCAACAGTCCGTTAACGGAATGGCGCCCTTTGCCCACTTGTCTGACGGTACGATGCTGCTGGTGATGGTGAGGCAGTGCAGTCGCCCGAAGTATCTCAAACATCTGCTGACCGTGCAGAACCCCAAGGCAAACCACTTTGACGACGATGTCCTCGAGGGAGCTAACGTATGTTTAAGGCTGGGTTGCCTGCTGACAGTCGCAACCACACCCGATACGTTTATGAAGTGATGAATAACTTGTACTGTAACGATTTTGCATGTATTTGCCGAGAAAGAAGTCTAGTGTGTCGTAGTTGAGCACTCTCGTCGTGGTTGGCCAGGTAACCTCTCGCGGATGCCTGTTTGGTGAAGGAGCGTATCCATAGCAACCATGCAAGTGCGTGTTTTCTTTTGTACAGTCAGACGTCTTTGTGTAGCCAGTTCTGGGGTTGTACACCATTGCGCATTTAGACTTTGAGTAGCCACACACACGCCAGATGCTGAAGATGTTATAGCATATATATTGCGATGTTCCCTCTTATTTATATTATAAATATATATATATGTGTGTGTGTGTGTGTGTGTGTGTGTGTGTGTGTGTGTGTGTGTGTGTGTGTGTGTGTATGTACATGTATATGTATATATATATATATATATAAATTGACGCATGTTTTCATACATACTATCATATCCTCTCATACAAACTACCATACTGACACTGTATCTGGACAGGTCTCCGAATTCGAAGTCAAGGCGATATCGAAGCCATCTGTGTGGATGGCTGACGGAGAAGTGATTGAGGGCATCACCGATGTACACTGCTCGGCGCATTACAACCTCATACATTACTTTGGGTCAAGACCAGCAGTACCCCCACCTACGATACCCAGCTCAGTTTTTAGAGATAAATCGAGAGAGTATCCATAGCTGTAAGCCAAATAAATGAATAAGCGTGATGGACTAAGCCTTGAAGTCGTATCCCTTCTTTACTACTGCTGAAGCTGAAGTTCCGCGGATAGCCTCCAGAAGCTTCGATTCCAAGGGGTACAGTGTACTAGTTTACTGTTTACGACAATATCTATATCTGAAATACGTAGGAAGTGCATGAGCTAGTTTTAGGGTTTAGGGTTTGGGCTAACCCTAAAGCTTCGATTCCAAGGGGTGCAGTGTACTAGTTTACGACAATGTCTGTACCTGAAATACGCAAGAGGCACATGAGCTAGACCCTGCGGCATGTAATGAATCTTTCTGTTGATATGTATAGTGTGTCATGTCGAGTGCGTCGCCGTCTGGCAGATAAAAGCGTAAACCCCTGCGGGTTCTGATAGGCGTCGCACCCAAACGGTTGTCAGGCATGAGCTTCTGTGCGCATTTCTGAGTGCATACGACGATGGACAAATGAAGTGATGGGCGCATGAACACCAAGAAGGTGTAGTGTGTGGATGAACCGAGAAAGGCAAAGCCCTTAAACCTTTACGTATATCAAGCTTGGGGGGAATCACGCCTGTTTTTAGCGTTGCGACGAATGGTTAGTATTTTTATCAATCATTGGAAAAGTATGTATATAGCCTAGCCAAATGATAACAACAAACATTCAATATCAACCATTCAGTGTCGGTCATCGCTGATCGAGGAAGCCAACCTTCTGTGCCGAATTCTAGAACCTTGGAACAGCCCTGCTGAATAAAAGATTTGCACCTTCCAAGCTTCTAAGGCGATCGCCTGCAGTCAAGAGGCATCGTAATTACCGAGGTATTATATTCGCGTACCCCAACAACAAAATCCTAGAAGTAAATCGGTCTAAAGTGCTAACTTTGAAACAGCTATTATTTGAAATTCCCGGACATGGTGATAGGCTCGTCACGTAGTTCACCTTGGTAAACTAGTACGAGGACATGGGGTTGCACAGTCACCAGCGGAGAATAAAACGCAATTACTGTGCTGGTGAATACTTAAAGCTTAGTAGCAGCCTGAAGATACTAACTTGAGCAGTAGTGGAAGGAGCCATCAACGCTGGTAAGTTGACCGTGAAATAAATACATCAGAAGGAAGATACAAAGCCAAACTGTTACTCTGTTTTAAATATAATCCGCAAGATATTTAGTTGACACTGCCTTGATTGATAATTCGAGATATCTGCATGATTGTAGAACAGGTTCCTATGGGTAATTAATCATGTTCTTGCTTGCTCATACTATTCATGGGCTGTGTAGTTGACACTGACTTGATTGATAATCCGAGTGATGTATAATGTTGTAGAGCAAATTCCTCGGAATAATTAATCATATTCTTCTTGCGAGTTCATTTCCTTATCCTATTACGCTCGGCGCCTAAATTTGACTCCGTATCGACTGAATACATATCGACATAGCCTTCTGGTCTATTTAGTAGGGCTATGGTATCGGCACGAGTGCAGAATTGCATACTTTTACGACAATCGGCAGTCGACGCTAAATAAATATACTCGACAGTACACTCGAGTGACTCGGCACACAAATAACAAGAAGATTAGGAGGCTAATTAATAATCAGGCTATGGTCGACACTTTTTATAAACAAAACCCTAAAACCCTAAAACCCCATTTATTGTAGGCTTGTCCTCCTAATTTTTTTTTCTACAAATAGATCTCGAAATAAAACAATCCATAATCTGATTGATGCCATAGATTATTCCTCTGAATGATCTGGTTGTTATGGTGTGAATTGTGAAAGGGCGAAGTTCGTAATAATAAGGATAAATGCTGATGATGTCAATAAATATATACGATAGAAGGGCATAGCTTCTGTCTTCTAACACGTGCATGATAAGTCATTAGTGAGTGCATGATAAGTCATTAGTGAGTGCTAATAAGTCATTAGTGAGTGCTAATAAGACATTAGTGAGTGCTAATAAGTCATTAGTGGGTGCTAATAAGTCATTAGTGGGTGCTATTAAGACATTAGTGAGTGCTAATAAGTCATTAGTGGGTGCTTGAAGTCCATTTGTACAGAGGTTGTGCGCCTGTTTGTCACACACAGAATAGTTATGTACTAGGTCGTAGTTCTATAACGCGTTTAAATAGTATTAGGCCTCGAATCGACAGTACGCGTCCAATATGTTCACGCAATAACAAATAGTGTAATAAGCTCTCTGGATGAGGCGAAACCCCTTCTCGGTTCCCTCATTTGGGGACATCTCGCCGAGCAACAGAGATGACAATTCTTCAGGTACGTAGCTGTATCGACGTGGTGTTATAAACAAGTCTATTGAGCGCACATGCACTTTGTGAATTGCAATGTTCAAACACGAATCAACACGCGCACTCACAATGATTAAATTGATTTAGTTACTGCTTCAATCGTATAACATGTCTAGATGTATATGCCCAAATCATTACACAATTAACTCGAATAGGTTTGTCTATGTAAATATACGAAGTAGTAGATATATATATATATATACATATATATATATATATATATATATATATATAATATATATATATATATGTGTGTGTGTGTGTGTGTGTGTGTGTGTTATATATATATATATATATATATATATATCTTGTGCGATAGTACTCGAGTGTACAGTAGCTATCTTCGATACAAGCCGCAAATACGAGTGATTGTTATAATACATCTCTGATATAGCTGACAAGAGATGAATCAATTACAATATATATAATATATATTACAAATTTATAGGGATGTATGTACTCATATTTCAACATGTTTATTTAGTTCAAAAGTACCATATTTTCATTCGAATCAAGGGTGTATATCAGATATATATATATATATATATATATATATATATATATATATATATATATATATATATATATATATATTATATATATATATATATATATATATATATATATATATATATAT